TTGCCTTATCAGCTGTAGCTGTGTTTTACTTACCCGGTGCTCGCTCACCTCCGGCCCGGCGTCCACTCCCCACACCCTCCCTTCAGGGGCTGTCGCACTCTTCCCAGACCCCAGGAGCTGCACGGTGCACCCGGCTTCTCCCTGTTCTGCGCACCGGTTCCTCGTTCTGCTTCTCCCTGCGTTATAACCTGCGAGGCATTGTCGCCGTGTTTGATAGCTATCTTCTAAGGAAATTAAACTCGAGAAAATGGCATTCCTCTTACCCATGGACTCACCGTCCCCAGGTTGTAGATCCAGGCTTGCCACTGGCCCCGTGTTCCGTCAGTGTCCGGAGCTTCCTTGAACAACTTCTGTACCCTAGGTGTGCTGGCAATTAACTTTGCCAGCCTTTGTTTGGGAAGAAACTCTCCACCATGACCTCATTTCAAAGGGGAATTTGGGTATAAAACCGTCTGATGGTTTTGGTTTTGTGCATCCTCTCCCAGAATTCACTGCTCCTACAAGAAGAGTCCAGGCCTTCTTGTCTTTCTTCCCCAGGATTTGAAGAATCTCCCTTTCTCTGCCTTTTTAAGGTGCTTTGGTTCTTTCAGATTTATTTACTTATTTTGAAAGGCAGTTGGAGAGAGAGACAGAGATCTGCCATCCGCTGCTTCACTCCCCAGATGGCTGCAATGACCAGGGCTGGACCAGGCCAAAGCCAAGAGCCCCATTCCCCTGATGGCTCCTCAGCACGGGGATTGGATCCAGGCTGCCCTGTGGCTCCCCACGGAGGCTCCGGAGTCCAGCGGGGTCCTTCGTTACAGCTCCTGCCTCCCTGCTCATTGTGTTCATCTTTTTCTTTAAATCCTTGAGCGTAGGCCTCTTCCCCCGAATGCTCCCCCTGCCCTTTGCACAGGGACCCCTCCCCGTGTCTGCCCCGGGCCACATTCCCCTCCCTTCTGGGCCTCTGCCCTGGCTGAGCCCTCGTGGTATTACCCTCCACCCCCAGTCACCTCCTCGGGGAGGCCCTCCCCGGCCTACCCCGCTTCCTCCCTGTGGCACCAAGCCGCGCCGTGCCACGCCACATCACGCCACGCCCCGCCACACCCTGTTTCTTCTCCCGAAGGGCAGGACTGGAGAGGATTCCCTTTGGTTTGGATTTGCTGCCGACCGCGGCCCCTCAGCACCTCCCATGGTCCTGCGGCCGTCCGCTCCACGTGGGGTGCCGGCGCTGAGCCCTCCCGTGGATCCGACAGTGTCTGCTCCCTTCCTGGCTGTCCTGTCAGCTCTGACACCCACACACGCTGACTGCCCCACAGTCTCCACGGGTCTAGACTGTGTGTGTCTGTTAGGGGAACTGGCCCAAGTGTCACCTCTTCCTTAAATTTAAAAAAAAAAAAATCAAGCCAATGCAGTTTTCCCCAATTTCTCCCCCTGGGCGGTCCTGCACCCTTCTGATGGTCAGGGTGGCCTCTGTGTCTTGACCTTTGCCACGTTAGGGCTTTCCTGCGTGCGGAAGAACCTCGCTCACAGCTGGTGTCGGCCTGGTGCTGTCCCCACGCCTTCTCTGCTCCTAGACAGCTTCAGCACAAAGGCTGGGCGGGTGTGGTCGCATCCCATCCCAGCGGGCGGCCCCCCCGGGGGGGGGGGGGGCAGCAGGCCCAGCCGTATCGACTGGGTGTGCGGCGGGCTGCACCACGCAGGTCTGTGCCGGCGTGTTTGCGCAAGAACAGAATCACCCAGCCTCGTGTGACTGCCCGTTCTTTAGTTTCACTGTGGGGCCTACCCCAGGCCTTTCCCAGAGCAGAGAGCGGCTTAGGAAATGCTGGCCCGGGAAATTAGTACCCGAAGAGACAGTATAATTTAGCTGGCTGCTGATTCAGGAAGCAGAGTTGTTAATGAGAACTTTGCATACCTGTTTGCCCGCTCCCTGTCCCCGGGTGAGATGCCAGCGCCTGACACATCCCAGAGCAGCCACCCTCCGGCCCCAGGCTGTGCGGGCTGCAGCGAATGAGCTCATGTTACCGGCACTTAGGGAAAGGTGTTGGAGAAATACAAGTGAGGGTGGTGGTGGTGTTTGTTATAATTATCTTCTCTGCGCCCCAAGTTGCAGAAGGAGCTAGACCTCAAAGAGTGTTTTAGGAATAAGCCATTAGATCATTGTAACACACTTCGCGAGGGGTGCACGGGGCCTGCTGGGTGGCATCAAGGAGGAGGAGGCCGGCAGGACAGGGCTTTGTTGGTGCTGGCTTGCACTTGGGCGTGTTCCCCTCTCCCCCACCCCTGCCTCCTCCAGACAGTTCCCTCATGGAGCTGCTAAGGTCTGAGGCTTCTGGCGTTGGGAGGAAGACCTAACAATACCTGTGTGGGGCTGAAACGGCAGGCATTGTGAATCATTGCAAATCATTAACGAGACAGAGAGCTATGATTTCCCCAGATTAACATGCAAGTTGGGGTTTGGCCTGCCGGAACCCATTGTTTTGGTCTCCAGCTCAAACTTGCTGGAGTCATTATATTGTCATGCGGTAATTAGCTGTTCCTTTAATACAAGTAATAAAAATTAAGCCTAAGAGGTAGTTTAACAGTGTCTCCTGCATCTCCCAAAACAATCTTCAGATGCGGCAGGCACTGAGTCACTTGACTGGATTCGGGTTCGAGGCGCGATGCGTAGAGATGTCGGGAGGCTGAATCTGTCCTTTGTTCTCTTTTGCTGCCCGGGCATTCACCTGCAGTAGGGGTGAGTTAAATATCGGTGCCCGAGTGGTCGTCTGCAGTGCAGGGCTCGGCAACTCCGTCTCCACGTCTGGTTGCCACCCACTTGGTGGTGTGCATGCTGTATGTGTATGTCCCTGGGTTCCTCGCTGAATCGCAGGAGAGAAGCTGTCTTTTCCTTTTAGTCAAAGCAGATCTAGTGGATCCTGGCCTTTGAATAGGAATGGACTGGAAACACAGTTGATGGGAAAGTTAGAGAGCGGGGAGCTGACTGCTGGCTTGGTTCTTTAAAGATGGTGTTTGTGCCCAAAGTCGCTAGAACTTCCTACAGTGGCCGCGGCTCCCCGTCCGGCCTCCGTGTCAAGTTCACCTTGTAGATGCAGGTGGAGGAGGCAGGGGTCTCGCTGCCTGTCTCCTTCAGGCTGCCTGCTCTGCACGAGGCCCCGGAGGTGGGGGTGGGGAAGGTACCCTTGGAAGACCCCAAAGCTACAAACAAAGCAGCACCCAAGGGCAAGCGTTAGCCTCCCAAACACTCGCATCACAGCTGCAGCTGCCAGCTAACGCAGACCCCGGGGGTCTCTGGGTCCCTGCCACCCATGCGAGAGACCTGGACGGAGTTCCCGGCTCCCAGCTTCAGCCCCGGCTGCTGCGTGCATCTGGGGAGAGTCCACTCGTGCTCTCTCGCTCTCACTGTCTCTCTGCTTCTCAAATCTAAAAGGGAAAATTTGACGTGCAGCTGCATCTAGAATGTTCTGAGGAATTGAGCGTCTCGTGTTATTACTAGTCCTGCTTGCAAAGAACTATCTCCCCAGAATAGCTGTGGAGATCTAATTTAACATAAATATTGTAATGCGGAGTGAAATAATGCTGGCGAGCGGGCCATGATGAACTGTGTATACACAGGGGACGGAGCCCGTGTGCAGCCCCGGCACCCGGCTGTGCTGACGTCGCCCGCGACACAGCCCAGTTGTCTGCCTCTTGTAAACTCTGCGGAGACGTTGGCACCGCGACGAATTCCTGGCTCCTGGTTCGCTGGGGCAGGGGAGACCCAGCCCATGTTTCCCGGAACCCAGGGTGGTCTGAAAAATTAATGACTCTGGCATTTGAAACTGCAGTGAGCTCTTGGATATATACCCCTGTTGATCCGCCCCGCTCTGTGTTTAGCATTCCTCTGCGGGAGCCGAAAGGCCCGCGGCCGCCTCCCAAGTGATGCTGGCGCCCACACCGGAACACGGGGCCGGCGCGTCTCCAACCAAGCCCAGTGGACTTGGGGGTTCTCCCAGAGCTTCCCGAGGAAGCGCCCCACGGGTGCCCAGCAGGTGGCCTGGAACTGCCTCCTGGGTAGCACAAGGGACACTTGCCATCTCTCCGTCTTTGCTGAGCCGGCAGTAAAGCCGGCAGCCAAGAGTGCCCTAAGTTCTGTGTCTGCGATCTGACTCGAGGTTAGAACCCAGTTTCTTGTAAGTAAACCTGGCCGCAGATATCGCACGGAACTGGCCCAGACTCCATCCTGCTCACGTGGCTCTGCTGTGTTCCAGTTGGCAGTGGGACGGCCAGAACCCTGGGCACGCCGGGGCATGCTGGGTCACAGCGGTGCCTCCGTAGGCTTCTCCGGTCTAGGGGTCAGCAGTTGCCCACCTCTTCCTGAAGAGCAGCCCTGTCCTGCAGTAGGGTGGCGTCTCGTAAGGCCCAGGGGTTCAGTTCCACCGCTCTGGCCGTGACCTTCCAGGTGAAGAATGGTCACTGGGAGCCGGCAGCCTCGTTCTGTGTTCTGTGCCCGCTCTCCAGGCGGGCCTCTCAGCTTCTCCAAGCTTGCCTGGCCACTGCTGTGTCAGTCTCTCTCCCAGAATCACTGTCGGGGCTCAGATGAGAAACCGCTCTGGATTCTGGAATGTTCGCAAAGTGATCGGGGTCGTTCCCAACTTCATACGAGTTTTGGAAACTTTGAACTCGCAGGTGCCTTGCCCGCACAGAGCTCAGCCCCAGGTGTACAGCTGAGTGTGCTGGGGCTCCTTGCCTTGGCGCCGCCGCCGTGGAGTGTGTTCCCCTTCTTATCAGATCAAAGAATGAAAATCATTACAGCGTTGCGTCACCCGCACCAGAGCCACTGGCAGGTGCCAGCGAACCCCACGGCTCTGCCCACCCCATTTTCATGAGCTGAGGACACTGGGGTGGGGGTCCTAAGTTTGCAGAATGGCAAAGGAGCACCCCCATGCAGCCTGGGGGCTCCTGGGCCGGCGCCAGGACAAGGGGGGGGGGCGCGACCGCATCAGAGTGGAACGATTGATGTGTGCGTTCCTGTCGTGCAGATCCCGTGCCAGCTCTGGACCTCGGGCAGCAGCTCCAGCTCAAAGTACAGCGCCTGCACGATATTGAAACAGAGAACCAGAAGCTTAGGGAAACGCTGGAGGAGTACAACAAGGAATTTGCCGAAGTGAAGAATCAAGGTTGGTGGGAAGCGCCTGCTTTGCTTCCCTCCCTCCCTCTCTCTCTCCCTCCTTCCCCCCCTCCCTCCCTCCTTTAACGGGCTTCCCTGTGCTGCTGGGACGAGCTGGGACCGCTCTCCTCCCGTCCCGGAGCTGGGATGGGACGAGACCGAGCGTGTCGTTAGAGACAGGTAATGAGGCTGCGCCCTGCTTCGGAAGTGAAACCTTTCCCGGCACAAGGGCCGCTCTGCCAGGACCAAGGGCGGCTCCCAAACGCCCCTCCTGTGTCATCAGGGGCCCCGGGCGACACCTGTCAGGAAGCCAGCCCCTGATCACAGGGTCCCACACGCCGTGGGGACAGGAAGGTGGCGGGACGCGTCCGTCCTCGAAGGCTTCGGGCTTCGGCCCCGCCTTTCCCTCGTCAGCCTCACCTGTTCACCGCGCAGCTCGGGAAAGAAAACCCGCCCTTGGTGTGGAGGCCCAGCTGGCCACAGGCTGGCCCTTGGCAAAGGCCCCTCTCCTGCCCCGAGAGAGCCCTCCGAGTCCCCGCGCCTGGGGGCTCCCGTGGCTCCGAAGCCCAGCAGCTGCACACCGCCCCAGGTGTGTGGCCCTCCTCAGGCCTGCGGGGGAGGGGGAGGGGAGGTGAGGCAGCTTCCGTGCCCACCCGACCCCCCGCCCCCCTCCACGGCGAGGGGTTTAATGGACGCCTAGGGCTTGGCAGCGAGATGGTTGAGGGAGACCTGTTCTGAAAGCACCCTTGGCCCTGAAACCATGGAGGAGGCCACTGCAGGAGGCAGGGTTGTCCCCGGCCATCAACATCTGGCTGTGAGCACTGCGGGGGGAGGGCCCCCAGGCTCAGGGTCCAGCCGGGCCCCACCTGCCCCTGGCCTCACAGAGAGAGTGCTGAGCCCTCCGCCTGACCTGTGGAAGGCGAGCCCCTGGGCTCCCTCCCCCGGGGCCCCTCTGAGAGAAGGCTCTGCCCTGCCCCCCAGGACCATTGCACACATACACACATGCACACACACACATACACACACACACATACCCTGTACCTTTTTTTTTTTTTTTTTTTCTTCCCCCTCAGTGCCCTCTGGTACCTGAACTGGATAGATGTGCTCCAGGCTCTCTGTTGACTTTGCCTTTGTTTTCTTAGAGGTGCAGCAGGTGGCCCCCTGGGGTCAACCTGTGCCAGGTTGTCCTTCCCTTCCCGCCATGTGGCCAGCGCCCCGACCACCAGGGCTGAGCGGCAGCCATGACGGAGTGTGGGGTGTTCTCTCCCACAGAGGCCTCTCCGTCGAGCTTTCAAAACTGAAATCCAGGGGCCGGCACTGTGGCCCAGTGGGTTGAGCCACCACCTGTGTCAATGGCATCCCATCTGTGTACGGGTTCAAGTCCCCGTTGCTCCTCTTCCAATCCAGCTCCCTGCTGATGCACCTGGGAAAGCAACGGAGGATGGCCCAGGTGTTGGGCCCCTGCCACCCACATGGGAGACCCGGATGGAGTTTCAGGCTCCTGGCTTTAGTCTGGCCCAGCCCCAGCTATTGGGCCATTTGGGGAGTGAACCAGTGGATGGAAGATTCTCTCTCTCTCTCTCTCTGTAATTCTGCCTTTCAAATAAATAATTTTTTTAATGAAAGCCATGGCCCTCTGCAGAACAGAAGCTCTGGGGAGCCCAGGGGCCTGGCTTGAGTCCCTCTGTCACCCTGGCCGTGAGCTAAAAGCCTCTGTGTCCCGGGGCTCAGTGGGCCTGAGGGCGACTCCGCGTTCAGGAAACGCCCCGTCCTGGCCAGCATCGCATCTGATTTTCTGGCCACAGGTTTGCCCGTCTCAGGAAGGATGCCCTTGTCCTCTCTTCCTCCCTCCAGCACCGACTCTCAGAATTGAGAGGGGTGGGGGAGGCACAGTTTTAGTCACTGCGGTAGCGTAGGCGGTTAGAAAGTTAGAGGGAGGAATTTCTGTATCATGAGCACACTCATCACACCACACACACACACACACACTCAGACAAGCGCTAAAAAGATAAGTGGAGGCCCCGGGCATCACTAGTGAGGGTGAGCTTGTCCGTGCCCTTCTGCCATGTGGGGCACCTGCTGAGATGGCCAGGGGTGACCTGGACGCAGGCCTGGCACCAGCAGGCCAGCAGCTGCAGCATGATGAGCCCCCAGCTTGGGCTCAGCCTGCCCGGGAGCAGCACCCCATACCCTCCCCAGAGACCTCGCGAACACGGAGCCCAAATGCCCTGGGAGGGGCACGGGTGTGCCCATGGAGACCAGCCTCAGGGTCCAGCTGCCCAGAGCCCTGACCGTCCGGGAGGGGTCCCGCTCCTCCTCACCGCCGCCCTGGCAGCTGGGCTCAGGGTCTCGTGCAGGTGGAAGGCCCCAGTTCTGCCTCCGCACTTCCATCTGCCTCTCTCCATCCGAGGAGAGCGCTCCGGGTTCCCCTAATGCGGGAAGCCAGTTTTTTAACTCTGCCAGGCCGCAGCTCCTGCCTCTGTTGGAGCCACAGCCTTTGCCCATGCAGTTCGGGCCGTGCAGCTCGCACCGCAGTGCAGGTGGAGGGTCCCGGCTCTCAAGCAACCCCCTGGTCTGAGTCAGGCCCTGCTTCGTCCATGGCATCCACGCTGCTGTTCTGGGTTTGGACACTTGCCCGGGACCGTGCAGCGAGTGGGTGTCGGGGGAGCCACTGCCAAGAGCTGCATGGCCCTGGGCTTTGCCTGGACAGCCCTGCCTCCCTCCTGAGGGGCCCTGGGCCTCGGAGCACTGAGCGTCACAGGGTCCCCTTCAACACCCAGCTGCTGTCCGAGGCCCTGGCTCTCTTGCTGCAACCCTGGGCACTTGTAGGCTACACTCCAGGCCCTGAGCATCTCCCCCCAGGCCTTACTCATCCATCCGCTCCATACACCACAACCCACGTCCACATCCCCAGCCTGGGGGAGGCCACTCCCCACACCCACGCTCCGGGGCGGGTCCTTGCAGCCCGGGAGACACCTCGCGTCTCCAGGCATTGGGAAAGAGCCCCACCAAGATGGCTTCCTTCCACAAACCTCTGTGCGAGGGAGCACTTAAACCCACGCTCACGGTCGATGCCTCTTCACCAGTGAGAGCCCACCCCGCTCTTTTTTATTTTTATTTTTTTTATTTATTTATTTTTTTTTTTTTTGAGTCATGCTGGAGAATCCATAGCCCTTCTTCCCAGCAAAACCCATCGATCCTCTCCAGCCCAAGCGTTGAAAGTTCAATTTAACATTTAGGGAGTAAGAGGTTCTCCAAAGGGACTCGCAGCCATTGATTTTGTGTCGGGCGTTGAAGAGCTGACGTTTTGAACGCAGCGGCCCCTCTGGCGGAGGGGAACCTCGCGCACGCAGCCACGGGGCCCCGCGCTTCTCAGACGCGGCTTCAGTTCTGTTTTTTGTTTGTTCCCCTTTCCGCAGAGGTTACGATCAAAGCACTCAAAGAGAAAATCCGAGACTACGAGCAGACCCTGAAGAACCAGGCCGAGGTCATCGCTCTGGAGAAGGAGCAGAAGTTACAAAATGATTTCGCAGAAAAGGAGAGGTGAGAGCATGCGCAGCGCGGCCTGGCGCGGCGGGCGTGGCGGCCGCCAGCAGGAACCCCCAGGGCCCGAGCGAGGCCGGAGCGAGGCCGGCGGGGCCTTGGGAAGTGAAGGTGGCCCTTTGTTCTTTGTGTGTGAGATTCCCCAGAGGGAAGCGCCCGGGTCTCTCCCTGTTGCTGGGTGTGGTCAGGCAGGTGGTGAGCAGAAGGCATCTCTCAGGGCCCTGCGGGTCCAGGCTGGAGCCCGAAGCGTGCGTGGCGAGCGAGTGGCACCAGGGATGTGTCCCCGGGAAGCCCTGGGTGCCACCCGAGCTCCCTCCATCTTCATACCTAAGTTCTGATGGACAGCATCTCACACACACACACACACACACACCTACACACGCACGCACATGCACACACACACATGCACACACACACATGCACACACACGTGTGCCTAGTCTTGGGGATTGCCTTGGTTTGGTTTGGTTTTGCTCCTTTCCATTACTCCACAGCGCCTCCTATAGCGAGGACTTGGCATATGGTGTCCCTAAGCTGAAAACCCGAAATCTGAAAAGCCCAGAACGTTTTCACTGCCATCATGATGCAGGCTCAATGGTTGGGTCCCTCCTGCCCATATGGGAGACCCAGATTACTGAGGTCCTGTGCTCCTGGCTCCTGGCTTCTGCCTGGCCCAGCCCTGGCTGTTGTAAGCATTTGGAGAGTGAACCAGTAGATGGAAGATCGATCTCTCTCTCTCTCTCTCCCTCTCCGTCTCCCTCTCTCCCTCTCTCCCTCTCTCTCTCTCTCTTCCTCTCTCTTCCTCTCTCTTCCTCTCTTCCTCCCCCTGCCTTTCAAATAAAATAATGAGTGAAAAGTTTTGGATTTTTTCATTTTCAGATCAGGGTCGCCCAACCAGTAAAGTCTGTGCAAATGCCCTGGAGCGTGAGCCCCTGTGGTCCCAGGCCTCGCAGCCTGTGTCGGCAGAACATGTCCCTGCACCCTGGGGTTTGTGTGGGTTTGGGAATTCCCATGGCCTCCTTACCCAAAACTTTCCTCACAAGAAAGAGTTGATGCAATGCTTTGATGAAAGTCAGATTTCTTATATATTAAAAAAAAAAATCTGTAAGGGCTGTTGAGTTTACCAGTTCCAATGTAAGTTGGATTTTTTTTTTTTTTTTTAGAACTCTTTGGTTAAATTGAAATATAAAGATGTAACTGGGGCATGCCGGTTAGTAGTAAGGTGCCTGGTTTGGTGCTGGATGGGATGGGGTTTTGCTGTGTTGTACTCAGCAGGCGGCCTTTGGAAAGAACAAAAATGGTACTGGCTACTTACCCAGTGCCCACCACATGTCCAGACTTTGCCAAGCCGAGCGCCCGTGACACAGCTGCCAGGCAGACTGACTGGGTTTACAGAGGGAGAGACCGGGCCATGGATGAGGTACCCACTCAGCCCCCACAGATAATCAAGCCAGAGGTAGGACTGTATAGCCCCACCTCAGGGGGCCATGGAGGAGACCCCCTGCCAATGTGGAGTGGGTCCCAAGTTACCACCTCTTGGGATCTAGCTCTGTATACCCAAAGAGGTTGCTCTCTGCATTGTTGCTGTGGATTCCTTCTGAGGGGAGGAGCGTGGTGGGGGCAAGAGGCGCGGAGTCACCACACAGACTCTGGGAGTCGGGTGAAAGCGGGCCAGAAGCGAGCAGCCGGCAGACTCGTTTATTTCAGTTGGTACAGCAGCTTATATAGCCAAGGCAGCCAATCCGGTCAAGGGGCGGTTTATGCCCTAACCAATCACAGCCTTTTGCCAGGCAGTTTCCAAAGCCATCCAATCACAGCCTGTTGCCAGGCAGGCTCCGTTGCCAGGTGGGTTCCAAAGCCATTCCTGAGTAACTGACCTACGCTTGCCAGTGGCCATCTTGGCGTGGCCTTCTCATTCCACCACACTGCATTACTGGCCGTGGGGAGCAGGGGTGCAAGCCGTGTTGGCGCTGCCGTGAGAAATGGGGACGTGAAAGGTGGGCCACCCCCGCGTGCTGCAGCATACAGCCTTGGAGATGCCCAGGGCCCAGAGAGGGCCCCACCTCCAGTGCGAGACACACAGAAGGAAGCTGCACGCCATGCTACGGCACCTGCCCGGAGCGCACCCACACCTTGCAGAAGTGTGGAAACCAGTTGATAAGCAAATCAAACTATGTAAGTTTTCATAATAGGAAAAAGAGTGAGATTACTGGAAGAATAGAAAACCATTTGGAGGGGAGGATAAAGCTAGATTGTTCTTTGTATGAAGATATCGAGGTGAGTCTAGAATTCCACTATTAATAATTAAATCACATGCATACCGGAAGAGAGCTCGGTGCATATTTAATTCTTAATAGCGTGGGAGTGGGGAATCTTTCTAAGCATCCAAGAAAAATACTATTTAAAACTTCAAACAGGAGCCAACATTATGTCATAGCAAAGCCCCTGCTGTGGCCCCAGTATCCCATACAGGGGCTGCTTCATGTCCTGGCTCCTCCAGTTCCCATCCAGCTCCCTGCTAATGGTCTCAGAAAGCAGTGGAAGATGGCCCAAGTGCTTAAGCCCCAGCCATCTATGTAGGAGACCCGGATGAAGCTCTTGGCTCCCAGCTTCGGCCTGGCCCAGCCCCAGCTGGTACAGACGTTTAGGGAGTGAACCAGCAAATGGAACAGTTCTCTCTCCTTCTCCCTCTCTGTTTTTCAACCCCAAACCCTATACCCTCAGTAGTGCTGAATTTCAAATAAAATAAATCTTTTTTTTTTTTTTTTTTGGACAGGCAGAGTGGATAGTGAGAGAGAGACAGAGAGAAAGGTCTTCCTTTGCCGTTGGTTCACCCTCCAATGGCCGCCACAGCCGGCACACTGCGGCCGGCGCGCCGCGCTGATCCGAAGGCAGGAGTCAGGTGCTCCTCCTGGTCTCCCATGGGGTGCAGGGCCCAAGCACTTGGGCCATCCTTCACTGCACTCCTGGGCCACAGCAGAGAGCTGGCCTGGAAGAGGGCCAACTGGGACAGAATCCGGCGCCCCGACCGGGACTAGAACCCAGTGTGCCGGCGCCGCAAGGCGGAAGATTAGCCTTTTGAGCCTCGGCGCCGGCCCAAATAAACAAATCTTTAAAAAAAAAAAAAAAAAAAGCATAGCTTTGGGGCTGACATTGTAGCGCAGTGGGCAAAGCCGCCACCTGTGACGCTAGCATCCCGTATGGGTTCCAGTTCAAGTCCCGGCTGCTCTACTTCCAATCCAGTGCCCTGCAAATGTGCCTGGAGAAGCAGCAGAGGACGGCCCAGGTACTTGGTACTTGGTCCCCTGCCACCCACATGGGAGTCCAGGATGGAGTTCCAGGCTCCTGGCTTCAGCCTGGCCCAGCCCTGGCCATTGCAGCCATCTGGGGAGTGAACTGGCAGGTGGAAGATCTCTCTCTCCTCCAACCCCCTTTCCTTTTCCCCTCCCCTTCCCTCCTTCCCTTTCTCCCTCTGTAACTCTCTCAAATAAATAAAAACAAAACCAGAAAAGCACTTTAAAGCAGAGTTTCATGGGCAGGCATTTTGGTGCTATGAGTTAAGCCACCGCCCGCAAAGCCCACATCCCACATCCCAGCGCTAGTTTGCTCTCTGGCTGCTCCACTTCCTGTCCGGCTCCCTGCTAATGCACCCTGGGAGGCAGGAGAGCATGGCTCAAGTGCTTGGGCCCCTGCACCCAATGTGTGAGACCCGGATGGAGGTCCCGGATCCTGATGGCATCCTGGCCCAGCCCGGGATGTTGCAAACATTTTAAATAAACACTTAAAAAAAATCAGACTCTTAATAACCTTTGACAATAAAACAAAATTTCAAGAGCATTCACAAACTGGGAAGAATATTTGCACCACCTAAAAACAAAAGGGCTGATTTTCTTTATATGCAGAGAGCTCTTTCAAATTACTAAGAAATCATCAATTCTACCCAAAAATGAGCAAAAGCGATTAGCATTTCACATAAAGAGAAATGTGCAGCTTTCCTCAGTGGTACAAAGTTAAGTCTGAGGGGCCGGTGTTGTGGCACAGCAGGTAAATCTGCTGCCTGTGATGCCAGCATCCCGTGTGGGCGCCAGTTCCAGTCCTGGCTGCTGCACTTCCAATCCAGCTCCCTCCTAATGCACCTGAGAAGGCAGTGTTAGATGAGCCAAGTCCTTGGGCCCCCGCACCCACCTGAGAGACCCAGATGAAGCTCCTGGCTTCAGGCTGGCCCATGGCTGGCCGTTGGGGGAATAAACCAGCAGATAGAAGTTTCTCTCTCTCTCTCTCTCTCTCTCTCTCTCTCTTCCTCCCTCCCCCCCGCCTCCCTCCCTCCCTCCCTATGACATAAATCTTTTTTTAAAAAGTTAGGTTTGATTTTATCCAGCATCAGCAAGGTGAACATGCTGTCAGGAGTTTCAATTGGTGAGGGTTTCCACTGGGAAAGTTCTCGATACCTTACCATGCGTCGCTTTTGACAATACACATTTGCCAAGAACTTTTTGAAGACCCTTGGTTTGCACCAATTTCAAAAAACTGTGTAGTCCATTTTCCGCAAACTTTTGAAGCAGCCACGTATGCCCAGAGTTGAGCATTTGAAATCTGGAGGTAAAAACACCCAGCAGGGTGCTGTGACCCCCTTGGCCGGGAAAGGAAGGAGCAGAGTTGGAGTTTGTGTTTGACCCTGATGTGCTACACTGTAGTACATCAGCTGCTAGTTTGTATCTCACTGGCCTGTTATGTGCCGGCTTGCAGTATGTAAATGAATGCCCCTACTTGTAGAGCTGCGCTCCAGAGCAGGAGGGAGCAATGCTGTTTGCTGACTGGGGACTTCACGTAGAGACCAGGGGGAGCGTCGAGAACGTCCCCGTTAGGGCTCGCGTGGCACCTGCACTGCACGGTAGCGCGGATGAGCAGCTGTCGCGGCTAGTTAGCACAGCCTTCGTCCCAGCCCACCCCTTCCTCGCGTCAGCAGAATGGAAATGCCCTGGGCTTCGTGGGCTCGTTGCAGCAGACAATGGCTGTGTGATGGTGATGGTCGCTTTCTTTTTTAATATCTGCCATCTCATGAGCAAGATGGCTTTAGAATGAACTCCTCCTCCCCGTCTCCCCATGTCCTGCCCTGCAGGGTGCGCCCCTCAGATTCTGCAAAGTCAGAGTGAACAGTCCCACACCCCGCAGCGTATGCAGCCCCGGGAGCAACAGGCCAGCGTGTGCCCACCACCAGCTGTGCCTGGCAGCCGGGAGAGCCGCTGGGGGTGGCACAGAGGTTGCCCCTGTGTCTCTGCCCATCACCGAGATGACCAATTGGACCTCGTTGTCTTTCAGAAAGCTGCAGGAGACGCAGATGTCAACCACGTCGAAGCTGGAGGAAGCGGAACATAAAGTGCACACTCTGCAAACAGGTTTGCTGCTCTCTGTCCCGGCTGAGCCCTGTGGGAAGGCAGATGGAGCATTGCGGGGGCAGCTTCCCCACCCGGACGGGTCCCCTGGGCTACCCGCTGGCTGAGGCCTGGGCAGGACCCCCCCACCCCCCAGCCAACCCCGAGCTGACGTCATTAGTCCTGACATTGAGTTGTTAATGGGAGGTGGGAGGATCTGAATTCCATTTTCATCCCTCGTGCTCTTTTTCCAACAAACACTTCTAAATCACCAAACTGTCACAGGCTGACATTTCATTTGCAACAATAATAGGAAAAAAAAAAAAAAACCTTACTTCTCCCCTAAGTGAAGTGCAGGAGGACAGTAATAGCAAACCTTTAAAATTTAAAAGACACCCAAAAAGGTTATGCTGCAGTGGGTATGGCGTCTTCCAACTTTTTTTTTTTCCTCTGAAGAGGGAGCCGCAGCGGGCAAGTCAGTCAGAGCTGGGAGAGGCGCCCAGGGAGCTCCTAGTCCCCAGTGCAAACGCGGACTCTGGAGCGGAGGAAGCAGTGACAACACATTGCCCCAGAAAGTGACCAGGCCCACCTGCCGATGGGTGACAGCAAAGCAGCCCTGAGGGATGTGGGCCGGGGCCGGGAGCAGGCAGTCCCCAGCAGAGATGCCAGGCTCACACATGCGTGACAACGTGCCGGCTGTGCCCGGCCGCCAGGGAGAGGCCCGGGAAGTCAGTGGAAGGTGGTCTGGCCTCTCAGACTGTCAGGAAGTTCTTTTTTTTTTTTTTTTAATTTTTTTTTTTTTTTTGACAGACAGAGTGGACAGTGAGAGAGAGAAACAGAGAGAAAGGTCTTCCTTTGCCGTTGGTTCACCCTCCAATGGCCACTGCGGCCGGCGCACCACGCCTATCCGAAGGCAGGAGCCAGGTGCTTCTCCTGGTCTCCCATGGGGTGCAGGGCCCAAGCACTTGGGCCATCCTCCACTGCACTCCCGGGCTACAGCAGAGAGCTGGCCTGGAAGAGGGGCAACTGGGACAGAATCCAGTGCCCCGACCGGGACTAGAACCCGGCGTGCCGGCGCCGCAAGGCGGAGGATTAGCCTGGTGAGCCGCGGCGCCGGCTGAGGAAGTTCTTAATACCCAGTGCCGGTGAGGGCACGGGAGGTGGTCAGGCACGCACGGAGTGGCCGATAGTGATGAGGGCCCCCGGGCAGCTGTGGGGCTTCAGCTCAGGGGTGTCCTGACACACAGGTGCCCACGCCACACTGCTAAGGGAATAGGGCAGGTGTCAGGCAGGGTGCCGCCGTCCCGTTTGTGGAAGGGAGAGGAGAACATGCGCACGTGTGTGCACACGGTCACGGGTCCCTCAGTAACAGGAGCACACCGCGAGAAGTGCCTTGCTAGGCAATTTCTCCCGTGTGCAGACTCGAACCTGGGTACAGCGGGCAGCCGCTCCACGTGGCCTCTTGATGCGGACGCTCGGGGGGCAAGGCTGCTGCTGGGCCGTGCAACTCGCTTTCCCCGTGGACGTCTTTGCTCCTGTCGGTAGGAGCGCACTGTAAATCCTGGCAGTCCACAGCCAGAGTCGTGATCACGGTCAAGTACACTCGTGGGCTGCCCGGGCCAGCAACGCCTTGGACGCCTGAGCAGTGTGTCACCCAGGGCGTCTGCAGGGTCACGAGGTGACAGGAGTCTGTCACACATGAGGCCCGGCACTCCACGAGGCGTGAGTGCGCGTGCAGCTGTGTGTGGGATTTTTTTAAATAACAAGATGTATTTAAGAGCCCCAGGTCTACACAGGAAGCTGCTCCCCAGGGTCCTGTCTTGGGAGGCGCAGAGAGGAAGGGACCTTGCACCTGGCGTCTCTGCCCCCTGTGCACGTCCCTGTGCTCCGTCTCCATTAGAGGACCCATGGCTCACATCACGGTGTCCTGCTCTCTGCATTTCAGCCCTGGAAAAAACTCGAACGGAATTATTTGACCTGAAAACCAAATACGATGAAGAAACCACCGCAAAGTAAGTCTCCATGCATCATCCCCCCACCCCCACCAGCCGCGTGCGCTCACTCGGGTCACGCTGGGCATCGCCAAGCAGGACTGGTTGTCGAGGGCCCTGGACGGCTGCAGGGACCCCGAGCCGTTACTGTGGGAGACTGCTCCCTGCGCTGCCGTGGAGCGCCTCAGTGCCCTGCCTCGGTCTGGGGCAGCTTGGGGAAGGACCAGCTTGCGGAGGAGGGGGCGTGGATGTGGTTACGGAGGTCGGTCTGCACGGGTCACTTCTCTGTTATGTTACCTGTGCCGGACCCCTGGGCAGGCCTGTGTCAGGATGGGCGCGTTCCCTGCAGGTGTACTGATTTCGTGTCAGGACACACACCCATTTGGACAGGGCTGGCTTCCTGCCCGACTCCCATCAGCAGGAAGGGAGCGTGACCCACCGCAGGCCCACCACAGAGGCAAGCATCACATTGCCACAAATCGGGAAAAGATGTAGAAGCGACCGAGGCCGCTCCTGGCCATGGCCGCCTCTGCTAACACCCAGGCAGGCGGCAGTGGGCGAGGGTCTGAACCACCGTGTCCTGTTCTGGAAGGCGCTCTGGCTTCTGTAGACACCAGCAGGGTGGGTCTCGGGCTGTCCAGCCCAGCACTGAAGGCTCTGTTGCACTCCCAGATGCCTCTGCGGGCACTGAGGGGCCTTCAGGGTCGCACCCCCGCCCCCGGCTCCTGTGTCACCAGGGGTGCGGCACCTCAGCTCCCCTCTGCCCCCACACACTTGCCCTTGGGTTTGAGGGTGCAGCTGGGTTAATTGACCCCAGGACAGTGCATGGGTGGGCTCTTGAAACCCCTATGCTGGCCAGCGCCGCGGCTCACTAGGCTAATCCTCCACTTGTGGCGCCAGTACCCCGGGTTCTAGTCCCAGTTGGGGCACCAGATTATGTCCCGGTTGCTCCTCTTCCAGGCCAGCTCTCTGCCCAACCCTGGTGGTCGGAACTGGCTTAGATCGCGAACAGGAAACTCAGGCATCAGGACTAACATATCCCCGTCCGTCTGGGTGACTGCACCTGGCTCGCTGACGTGTCTCACCCCCGTGGAAACCTCCAGGTCACGGTGCTGCCCCTGCTGTGTAAAATGTGGCTTTGTGTGCATGGGGGGAGCTGGTGCCGGGGCAGGCTGGTGGCTGAAATTTCACCCTGAAAATCGGAGACCCTGGTGTTAGCTCTCTCCCCCTGGGGGCCTCCCCGTCTGAACACGGTGTGGCTGTTGATGGAACAGTAGGCAAGCACCTGTCCCATCCCCGCTCGGTAACCCACGGCCTGGGAGTCACTCACCCCCGGCAGTAACCACGCGGCCGGCACCTGCCAGGCTGAGAACTCAGCACCTGGACGCGGCCGCCTGGGCTCTCCCCTGCTAGCGCAGCGTCGCTGGGACATGATCTCTCTTGGCTTGATGGCACAAAGTGGGCGACTCTGAAGTGGTCGCATCTCAGTCTGACGCCTGCGGGCCTGCATCCCTTGTCCGCGGCGTCTCCGTCTCTTTCCCAGCACAGTTTGGTGACAGTGTGCTGGCGCCCCGGGGCGCCCTCTCTCGGCCACGTGTCGTCTTGCTGGCTGACCCGAATCCTCGCAGCTTCGGTGGGCATACCCGATGGCTTTGCTTGTTTTCGCGAACTTTCTCTTTAGTAAGCCTCACTTCTTTCTAAAGGGCACGGGCACCTCTGGCATACCCGTCATCCCCCAAACGCGGCTTGATTGTGTACTTTGGAAAACACTTTGGTGAAGACGAGTGTGGGCGGAGGGGTCCCTGGAGAAGTTGTAATGAGACGTTAAAGCCAGAGCCACCGTGCAACCCAGCAGTCCCACTTCTGGGTACACAGCGGGGACCGGAAATATGCAGAGGGGACGTCTCTCCCCTGCTCACTGCCACACTGCTCACAGCCGCCACGGCAGGCAGACAGCCGGGGCGTCCGTCCATGGCCGAGTGGACAAGAGTGTGGGTGGTGGACGCGGTGGGGCTGTCCATCAGCCTGCGCCCTTTGCGACAACGTGGGTGGGCCTGGAGGCCGCTCTGCCGAGTGAAATAAGCCAGGCACGCAGCAAGGTGAGTACTGACTGCATAATCTCCCTGGTATTTGGAAATTTTAGCAAGTCAGACTCGAGCAGTAAAAAAAGCAGCACAGTGACGAGGAGGCGGGGGTGGGGGTGGAGAGGGGACAGGGGTGCAAAGTTTCGGGCAGGAGGAGGAAGTCTGCATGGGAGGTCACCCCCAATCGTTGCAAAGTAACGACGAGTCTGTTTCTAGCAAGAGCTTGCCAGTTTAATCGGATCACTCGGTGTTGTGAGCGTTTACCGGAGCGTCGCTTTGTACCCCAGAAATGTATACAGTTATGATTGGCCAATTCACGTGGTTTTTGTTGTTGTTGTTGTTGTTTTTTATAAAACACAAAAACGCAAAGCACCCTGGTGCGAGCAGCCCCAAAGCCCCTCCATGCCATGCCTTCTAGCCCGTGGGTCACCGTTGTGAGCATTTCAAGAGGAAGGGGCCTTAAATATTTGTTGTTAGACAACAGGGAGGGGGCGGGGCGCCGAGTAGAGGATGTGTTTGGGAGGCAGAAGAGAGACAGAGAGAGGTCTTCCATCCGCTGGTTCACTCCCCAAATGGCCACAACGACTGGAGCTGGGCCAGGCCGAAGCCAGGAACCAGCAGCTTCTTCCAGGTCTCCCACATGGGTGCAGGAGCCCAAGCACTTGGGCCATTTTCTACTGCTTTCCCAGGCCATAGCAGAGAGCTGGATCGGAAGAGAAGTAGCTGGGACTCAAACCAGCGCCCGCACAGGATGCCGGTACTGCAGGCAGTGGCTTAGCCCACTGGGCCACAGCGCCGGCCTCTGGGGCGTGTTTCCTCAATGAGCTGGAGGGCATCGACATGGACATTAGTGGGCACACAGTGCCTGTCTCGCCAGGAGGGCTCACCCGCGTGAGCAGCCCGCAGCCGGGTTTGGCAAGAAGCGTGCAGGTGGAAGGTGGTGGGGCTGCGGCAGGGCCCCGCTCGTGGTGAGCAGCCCGCGCCGTGCGTCAGCTGGGCCGGCGCGGGCTGCTGTGCCGGGGACCGCAGCAGCGAAGTTGTCCGTGTGTAGGCTTGAAGCGCCGCGTAATTAGCCTTTATGCGCGGAACAAGGCCCCATTGATGACTACAGCTGGTCTTTGTTTGGTCCTGTCATTGCGAGTGGGAGGTAAAAGTGTTGTTCTTCATGTTTATTAATGCAAGATTCCTGAGACAAATGGCGAGCACAGTTTCATATTTGCCGGAACACGGCGGGGGGAGGGGCCGCCCAAACAGTTGTTGTAGAAGAGGATTGCAGGGGTTCGCCTTAGAACCGCTTCTGGGTTAGATAAATGAGTGATGTCGGCGCGCCCTTCTGCTTGAAGGGTGTCCCTGTGCTCAGCTGTCGCGATCTTCCCTCTCCCTGAAGCCAATGGAGCCCTTTCGTCCCCTGATCCGCTTTCCCGCGGAGTAGAGTGAAGCAGGGTGGGTTTCAACAGTGAAACGGTTCCCTGAGATGACCTCGGAGGCCACCAGCGTCTCTGCCCTAAGCAGCGGCAGAGCCGCCCATGCCGCGGCCCCGCCCTCTCGGGCCTGCTCCCACAGCTGTTCGCGGGGTCACTTGCCCTTGGGTTTAGGTCAGTACCACTCGCCCCCACCCCCAACCCCCCGGCCAAGTGCTCTGGGCAAGAGTGTAGGAATTCCCATCTTCGCTGAAGTCCATGGCCACCTCTTTGCTCCGGCCGTCCTGCTCTGGCCGTCCGCTTCTGGGCTGGCGGAGGGGCTGTGGTTGGTGCACGCACGGTCAGCGTCTTAACATTCCTCGGAACGTGGGGGCCGAGGCTCTGCGCTTCGATGAAAGGAAATATTGAATTGCTCTGAAATGCTGCCTTTTTTATAGCTAATGTTAGTCTTCGGAGACTTTGCACCTCCCAAACCAACCCTGCCAGTAAAATTCATATTTCTTTGGGTTCCTCATGTTCTAACCTCCCTGGCCTATATGCCTTTTTCAAAGAACAACATTGTATACACACATGCCCATGTGGTACATTACAAAAGCGACTTTTATGGACAACTTCACTCGGGTTAAAATTTCCTTCTAAGTAAGGTCTGCAGCTCGCGTTTCACAGCTCGCGTTCCCCTCGCTAGCTCAGCTCGGGGATTTATTCGGGTTGTTTAGGGGAGGCTGCTTTCTGCGTCATGGGCATTGGGCACCTCACCTCCCAGCAGAGGAGCTAAGACAAGGCCCGTCGAGGTAAGGAAGCCGGCAGCTGAGTCACGGCGCTCCGTGCGACAGGTGCAGCAGTGAGGGTGGATGGCGTGGGCGCAGCCCTGCACGACTGCCCGCTGGGTTTTTGCGTGCCAGCTTGTGTGGCCATCCCAGCAGTCCTGGCGGCAGCATCCATGGTGCTCCTGGCGTCGATGGGAAGCCGAGCCGGGAAACACGGGGTCAGGCCCCACGCCTTGTCTCCTGAGCTCACCCTCCAGAGCTCTCTGCTCTCTGCCGTGCTGGGACTCTGTCCTGGAGCAGACTTTGCCGTGTGAGGGGACTCGGAAGGGTTTCCCCCTCCTCTCTCCTGCCCCTGGAAGCCCCCATCAGAAGTGGGTATTTCAAAAAGTTCATGGAAGGGGCTACCACTGTGATGTGGCGGGTAAAGCTGCCCCCTGGGGCATCGGCATCGCATATTCGAGTCCCAGCTGCCCCACATCTGATCCAGCTCCCTGCTAAGGTACCTGGGTGGGCAGCAGAGGGGGCCCCGGCCACCCACGTGGGAGACCTGGATGAAGCTCCTGGCTCCTGGCTTAGGCATGATGGTGCCTGGCACTGCATTCTCTCTCTCTCACCCTTCTCTTTCTCATAACTCTTTCAAATAATTCTTTTTTAAAAAAAATTAAAAATAAAATGTAAAAATTCATGGAAACAATGACGATGAAAACAATGGGATGAATGAGACAACGGTGGCCGAAGCGTTTTGAAAT